GGAGAATTGGTGATGGAAGGGGTTAGAAGTCATGCGAAAATCTTAGCTTAGTTATTTATTTATTTATTATAAATAATTATCTTAGTTTTAAAAATATCCCTAAGTTCATTAGTTATAGGGAATTGACATAAATGCCATTGAACTTAACAGAAAGTTTAACAAAGTTAGACGTAGGTGGTATATTGCAACACTCTATAAAATTCAGGTGATTAATGATAAAAATTAAAAGTTTATGTGGTACTCATGCACGGGTAAAAGTTCAGGTGGTGGTCTGGTATGTTGAACGGGATTGTGTGGAGATCCATTACCAAAGAAATGTGGAAACAAGAGGCCCTTCAACAGCCATTTTCAACTGAAGAAGACAGTGATTCAGGCTCAGCTCGAACTCTTGAATTTGATTTGAAACTTGGTTTGGCTGGAATTGGAAGTGGGTTGGTAGTGGGAGTGGTTCTTGCTATTGATACGGAAAAGGTAGTGCAGGAGATGCAGAAATTGAGTTTGTTATAAGGTCATGCGCATTTATAGTCATTTTCTTGTGTTTTCTTCCTTCTCCTTCTATGTAACCTTGCTCTGTCTTTGAGTTGTACTTATGCTAATGGAAGAATCAGTTGTGATTGATGTATTAATGCAAATAAAGATATTAGACTGTTGCATGTGTTTCTGTATTTGGATTCTCTTGACCACTTGACTTCAACTTCAAGTAAAATTAAACTTGTATTAAAACTTTAACATGTAAAATTCAACTTATATTAGAGTTTCACTTGTATCTCTCAATTTATTTATTAAACTTTAATGCGTTTTATTTTCGTTCTAGCTGTCATATTAGTGGGTCTTGGGAGACTAGGGGAGGAGATCTGTAGGATAGTGGGAGGATGATGTAGGGCTGGGGTCAGGGGACACTTCGGTTGACGAGGCGGTTGGAGTGGCAACTGAACTGAGCTATGGGCATAGGTAAATTTTTACTTTTTTTTTTACTTTTCTTTTCTTTAGTTTTCATTTTTAAATCGTGTTTTATGCCTCCATTTTTTTTACAGTTAATCATTTTTTGTTTGATGCATACGATATTGAGGGAGGAGATTTGAACGCAGGACATCGAGTAGAGGAGTAACATTGTTAAGTTATAAGTCCTTTGCACAACTAACCAAATTTTTTTTATGTTTTGACTAAAATAAAACATTAAAGCTTATTGATCTCACTTGACTTGACTGACTAACATTTTAGAAAGCTTTCGTGATTATTTTTGTCTCTTGTTTGTTTGTTTCTTTTTGTTTTTTTTTTCTGGGGGAACATTTCATTAGGTTTATCTAATTTAATCTCCAAGCGTCTCCTAGACGGCTACATTTTTGTCTCTGCTTCAAGGTATGGAGTACCTCCTTTTCTCTGTTAGTGTAAATACCAGAAATGAATATATGTAATTGACAGGAAGAGTTTTTCTTTTGTTCTCAATTGAAAGGATGGAATTTCCTGTGATGATTATTTGGTTTACACTTCTTTATTCATCAGATCGTTTATGTTTCTTATACTATATGCAAGCATACAATCAATATCGGGACGAGAAGGAGGATTCGAACACAAGTGCAAAACACTTGTATAACTCGTCCACGTTTTGCACCACAATGTGCTTCCCAGCAAAAGAAGCAATGGCTACAGTTTCCTCATGACCATATACACCATGAATAATTGAAGCGTAGTCTCCTTTCTTATGCTTCTTCAGTGTTCCAGACCTTCACACAAACAGACACATATTTTTTTATTTTTCTTGAAAAATTGAATTAAATTTTAAAAACCAAAAAATTAAAAACCTACGTCGGAAACCCAGGGGCAAGTGGTGTCAACAATTTGAACATCTTTGTTACTCAAGGTGAGCATCTCATCCACTCCAGCCCCAAAAGCAGGCAAAATGACAACATCGCCCTTTTGCACCATCTCAAATTGCCTCTGCCTCCCTTCCTCTCTCTGAATTCTCTCTACCTTCATCTCCTCCCATCGCTGCCCATATTAATTAACTAAATAACTAATTAATTACCTAATAAATGAACCCAAAAAAAAATTAATAACAAGGACCTTATTGACCGTTGGATTATGGATGATCTCGTTGGTGATCCAAATCTTTTCATCAGGAAACTGCTTTGTTGCCTCGTAAGCAATCAGGACGGCTCTCTCAACGCCCCAGCAGAACCCGTATTGTTGCCGACCGCATCTTTCTTGTGATGTCATTGCTCAACAACTTGATCATGGCAGTCCATAAATAGCTAGCTCTCTAACTTTCACTTCCACAGATGTTTATTTAGCTAAGAGTACACAGAAAAAATAAATAAATTACCAGAACACTATGGCGTTATCCCATTGCTTATTTAACATGTTGATTCGCATGCTCTCCAAACTACTAGTTCTGGTGCTGTTTCATCTTAACTTTGTAGACTCTTTGCAGCAGCCTTCTTGCCATGCCGAGGAGAGCTCAGCCTTGCTGCAGTTCAAGGAGAGCTTTATTATTGACAAATCTGTTTCAATTTATGACGGTGCTTATCCAAAGGTTTCATCATGGAAACCAGCTGGAGGAGGAAATAGCAGTTGCTGCTCGTGGGACGGCGTGGAGTGTGACGAGATGACGGGTCATGTTATTGGCCTTAATCTGAGCAGCAGTTATCTTTACGGCTCTTTCGACTCAAATAGTAGCCTATTTAGCTTGGTGCATCTTCAAAGGTTAAGCCTCTCTGACAATAATTTCAATTACTCTCAAATTCCATCTAGCATTAGAAATTTTCGAAGCCTCACTCATCTTGACCTCTCTGACTCTGTCTTTTCTGGTCAAGTACCATATGAAGTCTCACACTTGTCCAAGTTGACATACCTTGATTTGTGTTGCAATATTGACGGACCTGATGATGATCCTCGGCGATTGCTGAAACTTCAACCATCGGACATGAGAAGTCTAGTTCAAAATTTAACTAGTCTAGAGACCCTCTCTCTCAGTTACATTAACATATCTTCAATCATACCGGTTTCCTTGACAAATTTAACATTTTTGACATCCCTTAACCTCAAGAGATGTGATCTGTTTGGCGAATTCCCAGTGAGAATTTTCAATTTACAAAACTTAAAAGTTCTTAGTGTGAGATACAACCAAGATCTCATTGGATATTTTCCTGAATTTAATCGAAGTAGTCCTCTAATCTCACTGAAAGTTTCTTATACTAGGTTTTTCGGACAAATACCTTCCTCGTTAGGAAAGCTTAATTCATTGCAAGACTTGGATATGGCTCAATGTAATTTTTCAGAAGGGTTGGTTCCATCTGCACTTGGTAATCTTAGACAGCTCACTTATCTAGACATTTCAGAAAACAAATTTGGAGGTACAATTCCTGATTCCTTGGCAAACCTTACCCAATTGACTGAGTTTAGGATTAGTACGAATTATTTAACTGGTCCAATTCCATCTTGGCTAGGTAACTTAACCAAACTAGTTAACCTAGACATTACGGATAACTTCCTTTCTGGAGAACTTCCAATTGTCATACCCTGGGTTAACTTGCTCTGCTTGAGGCTTTCAAACAACATTTTTCATGGACGATTACCGATCCCTCCACCATCCTTGCTAGAATATGGAGCCGCTAACAACAAATTTACCAGAGAAATTTCACCATTGCTTTGCAATATGAATTCTCTTATGTACCTTGACTTGTCAAAAAATAACTTGAGTGGCATGCTTCCTCAGTGTCTCGGAAACTTTAGTGACGGTCTAATCCTTTTACTTATTGGAAGCAACTTTTTCATGGCATGATGCCTCAATCATTCAACAACAAAAGCAGTTTGAGGATGATTGATGTTAGTCATAACCAATTGCAGGGGCAATTACCTAGGTCATTGGCGAATTGTGTGATGCTTGAGTATCTGGTTCTGTCAAACAATCAATTCAGTGATGTTTTTCCCATTTGGTTGGGGACTCTTCCAGGGTTAAAACTTTTGGCAATGCGCCATAATGGGTTTAATGGTGTGATAGGACAATCCAGAACAAATGTTGACTTCCCCAAGTTACGCATTCTTGATTTGTCTTACAACAATTTTAGAGGTGAGATTCCACCTTTGTTTCCAGATATTGTTGTAAACATGTCAACATACATGCATGCACAAGTACAGTATGTCGTCACTGGTGTTTATCTTAGACGAAATATTTCTTACTCAATCACAATGGCAATTAAGGGTTTGGATTTGTACTATTCAAAGATTCAAGAAGGCTTTGCAGCCATTGACATCTCAAGCAACAAATTTGAAGGTAAGATTCCAGAATTCATTGGGAACCTTAAGGAGCTTCGCTCACTCAATATTTCCAGCAACATTCTCACTGGTTCTATTCCATCATCCTTGGGGAACTTAAGGAATCTTGAATCGTTGGACCTTTCACAGAACAAGCTGTCAGGACAGATCCCCCAACAACTGACGAGGCTTACATTCCTTGGGAACTTTGATGTGTCTCACAACAATCTCACAGGTACCCAACTTACTTCATTGAATAGCACTTCGTATGAGGGAAACCCAGGATTGTGTGGAGATCCATTACCAAAATGCGGAAATCAAGAGGCCCCTCAACCGCCACCTTCAACTGAAGAAGACAGTGATTCAGGCTTAGCTCGAACGCTTGAATTTGATTTGAAATTTTGTTTGGCTGGAATTGGAAGTGGGTTTGTAGTGGGAGTGGTTCTCGCGGATGTCACCATCACAAGAAGGCAGGAGTTGTTTCTTAAGATCGTTGGAATGTTCAGGCTAATGATATGGAAAAGGTAGAGTTGGGGATGCAGAAATTCAGTGTGTTATAAAGTCAAGCATTTGGAGTAGTTTTCTTGGTTTTTTTTTTTTTCCTTCTCCTTCCATGTAACTGTGCTCTATCTTTGGAGTTGTCCTGTTGGTAGAGTGGGGGATGCATAAGTATAGTTTGGTCATGCATTTGGAGTTGTTTTCTTGTTTTTCCTTCCTTCTGCTTCCACGAAACCTTGCTCTGTCTTTCTAGTTGTTCTTGTGGTTATGCTAATTAATGCAAATAAAAGGTGTTAGGATGTTGCATGTTTTTCTTTATTTGGACTTTCTGCATTCATAATGTTTTTCTTTATGTAATAAAATGATTTTAATCATTAATTGAGCACAGAGTACATTGGATGAAATGAAATTGAAGCTTTCCAAAGCCTCAGATGAATATTTCTACAATAGTTGCTGCTAATTGCAAAAGAGCAAAGTGTACATTGGGTGCAATTCAATCACCCGCACCCTAACCCAATGCACCTCTCTCCGCCGCATCCCTTCATTCCTCTCTCTCCTATTTATTTTCTCTTCATTTCAAAATGCCTAAAATACAGAAACAAAATTAACCCTTGATTTTCCAGATTTTTCTCGGTAACCAATTTAACATCCTGCACTTCACGAAACTCTTTTCTAAAAAGAGAAACAATGAAATGTTCACGGTCATAATCATAAGCACCTTCTTTATTGTGAGCTCTTGACTTTTCTAGAACTTCGTAGAACAAATGAGCATTAGTTTTTCAACAGAAAATTAGTCTTGATATGTCATTGCTCAATAATTTGACTCCAATCTATAAGTTCTAGAGCTCTCTCACTTTACCTAACAAAGATCAACAAATTTGATTAGCAAGAAAAAATATCATTTTCCAAGCTTTCAAAAGTAGTTCTGCTGTTCTTTCATCTTGTGGTTGCGAACTCTTTATACTCTTTGCAGCAGCAGCAGTTGTCTCTACGGTTCTATCAGTTCCAACAGCAGCCTCTTCAGTCTTGTTCATCTGCAGAGACTAAACCTCGCTGATAAGTACTTCAATTACTCTCTAATTCCCACTAAAATTAGGAATTTGCCAAAGCTCACTTATCTCAACCTATCTGTCTCTTCTGTCTTTGCTGGTCAAGTCCCAACTGAAGTTTCACAGTTGTCCAAGTTGTCATCGCTGGACAAGTACATAAGGAAAATGTATGGCAAGGGTTGTCTAAAAACATAGCTGCATGAATTTCCAGTTTGCGCTTGTGGGAGTGAACGAGGATCGTAAAATATACCTGCACTGTAACCAACTTCAGCCCTGAATTATACTTAGAGATTGTATTCTCTTTGTCTAATGATTGCTCTGTTTTCATTTTGTGAGAAAATTTTGCCAATTCTGTCTTCTGAACTGACTTCCACTTTGGAATTATACTTAGAGATTGTATCCGATGTAAGTATTTCACACCATATGAAATATTAGTCAAACGAAATTGAAACTTAATTATCGAGCTCAAAACTGAAACTTCCGTGTACACAACACAAAGACATGTTCTGCAATTTCACAGCTCTGGTTTTAGATTACACTTGACTTGCCATACACTCTTCTCAATATATTTCTTTTTTCCCTTGTTATGATGTTGTAATTAGCTGGTGATCTAAAACTGTGTTTTGTGCTTAAGTATTTCATAAGTAAATACCGATTTTTAAGCTCTTGTTTCTGGCTCAGCCACAGAAGGAGAGAATCGTACATGGACATTGGAGACCTCACAGTTACCTCCAAGGAGGAGCAAATGGATGCCAAGCTACCTATCCCTGGCAAGCGAAATATCCTGATCACCAGCACCTTGCCTTACATCAACAATGTCCCTCATCTCGGCAATATCATTGGCTATATTTATCTGCTCCTTATTTTGTTTCCTTCTAATTTTTCGGGAACCAAAACAGATTCTTGAAATTAATTCATGTATTCTTACATCATTTTAATTCATGTGTTCTTTTTATTGTGTTGGCCAGGTGTGTTGAGTGCCGATGTCTTTGCACGCTACTGGCGTCTTCGAGGCTACAATACGGTATATGTATGTGGAACTGATGAGTATGGCACAGCGACGGAGACCAAAGCTATGGAAGAGAAGTGTAGCCCCCAACAGATTTGTGACAAGTAAATTTTTCTGTAAAATTTATATAATATGGTAAACTTAACTTCTATTTATTGTGTACGATTTATTGAAATTTATTTCAAATGGTTATATTCTTGTAGATATCGTGCAATTCATAGGGAGGTTTATAAGTGGTTTAGTATAAGGTTCGACAAATTTGGGCGCACATCGGCACCACAACGAATGGAAGTATGCCAAGCGATTTTCAAGTTGTTGTTGGAGAATGAATGGCTTTCAGAGAACACAATGCAGCAGGTAGCATTCACACGCTTGTAAATGTGTCTTCTATTGGTTTAGTCACTGATTTGCGTGCTTATGTCCATGTATTGCGATTGAGTTATGTTCAAAATGTATTTCTATAATTTATTTTAACTTGAATTTGTACTGTAATTCAGCTTTACTGTGACACATGCAAACGGTTCTTCGCCGATAGACTTGTGAAGGGGACATGCCCAACTCAAGGTTGTGACTATGCTTCTGCATGAGAAGATCGATATGAATACTGTGGAAAGATTTTGAATCCAACAGAACTAAAAGATCCTAAATGCAAGGTATAGATTTTTTTTTCATATCCTTTGTGAGAGAGTTTTTTTTTTCCTCGCATATAAATAGAAGCAGTATTGTTACAATCTTATATTTCTCATTTTTGCCAATTGCAAGCATATGTGTAAAACAATTCCACGAATTCGTGATACAAATCACTTGTTTCTAGAACTTCCTTTGCTCAAAGATAAACTGGAAGAGTATATCAATAAAACATCAGTGGTTGGGTCTTGGAGCAAAATGCTATTCAAGCGACAAATGCATGGCTCAAAGAGGGACTTAAACAACGATGCATTACTAGAGATCTAAAGTGGGGGGTTCCAGTTCCACATGATAACTTCAAGGAGAAGGTTAATACTACACTTATGCTAATTCTACTAATTTTTGTTAATGATTTTCAAAATTTGTTACATTTGTTCTAATTCTGTTATCAGTAGGTTTTCTATGTGTGGTTTGATACTCTGATTGGATATGTATCAATTACTAAATGCTACACTGATGAATGGTTGAAATGGTGGAAAAATCCTGAGAATGTGGAGTTGTATCAGTTTATTGGCAAGGATAACGTGCCATTCCATACAGTAAGTATTGTATTCTCAACATTTCTTGCTTCGAAAAAGAATTTATTTCAACTATATGTACTTATTTATTTATCTTTCAGGTGATGTTTCCGTCAACGCTTCTTGGAACTGGTGAAAATTGGACTTTAATGAAGACTATTAGTGTTACTGAGTACTTCAACTACGAAGCAGGTATGGATACATGATTCTAGAAGACTTTATTTATGAAAGCTCGAAGTTTTGGACAACAACTTTGTTTGCTCGTAACTAATAGGCCTGAGGTAACTTTAATGATTCCCGTCTTCCTTCTTTCTCTGTATCTTTGTTTGCTCGTTTTAATATATATATTTTTTTTGATGAAATAGGTATCAGACACATTTTTTACGTGGGCCGACTTGCAAGCAAAACTGAACAGCGAATTGCTGAATAATTTGGGCAACTTCATAAATCGAGTTTTGAGTTTTGTTGCCAAACCTTCAGGTCGGTCAGCCCTTCGTTTTAACATGCATGTTCTCTGGTATAAGAAATGGTTTAAGAAATAAGCATGGTATATGTGGCACTTTGCAGCATATAAACTAACAAAATCCATGTACAGGTCAAGGATATGGTTCCATTATTCCAGATGCTCCAAGTGCAGAGTCAGATCTTTTAACAGAGAAATTAGCTGAAAAAGTTTGAAAATATGTGGAGCAATATAAAGAAGCAATGGAGAAGGTAATTGATATTTAGATGACAGTCTTGTTGCAAATGACTGGAAGCTTCTCCTCCCCAACTATGTCATTGGCATGACATTCCTATCTGCATTTTGTGTAGGTTAAACTAAAGCAAGGACTGAAAACAGCAATGAGCATTTCTAGTTAAGGGAATGCATATATGCAAGTAAGCACGTTTTTAATCCCTGTTTGAGAGACTTGTTTATGGATATGTTCTTTTGTTAAGTATATTGCTTGGAAATGGCTGTGAAACCGATTATTCAGCTGCTGCTAAGTTGCATCATCTGTAATTACCATGCAGGAAAGCCAGTTCTGGAAGCTTTACAAGGAGGACCAACCCCGTTGCGCTGTTGTTATCAGAACTTCAGTCGGACTAGTGCATCTTCTTGCTTGTTTGTTCGAACCTTTTACGCCATCATTTCTCTCTAAGTAATAAATTCTGTTCGCACTGAAATATTTATTTGACCATGTGATATTAGTATAATCATCCATGCTGATATTTTTTTTTTTTCTTTAACTGCATTCAAGGTATTTAAGCAGCTTAATTTACCTCCTGAGATGCACATATCACTTTGTGATGATAAAGGAGATATTGATAGGGCAAGACAACCTTGGGAGATTGTACCTGTTGGTCACAAGATTGGGAAATCAGAGCCATTGTTCAAGGAATTGGTATGTCTTTGATGTGCTTTGTCTTTCAATGTCGGACTCTCTAGCCTGCCAATGCCATGATATGATTGCAGCATCACTTGCCTACTTGTAGATTCTAATTTAGTGAAAGTTTGTACTTGGACACAGAAAGATGAAGAAGTGGAATCCTTAAGGAAGAAGTTTGCTGAAAGTCAAGCGGACAGGAAGGAGAGGGAAGAAGCTGAAGCAATGAAGGCGGCTGCACAACTCAAGAAAACAAAAGTTTCAGTTTAGAATTTCCTTACCCTCATATTTAACGGCAAATTGGATAAAATTTTGAGATTTAGACGGTAGGGGGGAATTGGCAATAAAAATTAGTTCGTGTACTTAATTTTTCAAAAAAAAAAAATTGAAGATGCAAATT